TTTTTTTTTTTAACTAATGGACGGTGGCGGAGGCCAGCCGGCGGATACGGAGATGACGGATGCGGGCGCTGCTGTGCCGCCGCCTCAGCAGCAGCCTCCGCCGCATCCGCAGATGGGAGGGATCGAGAACATTCCGGCGACGCTGAGTCATGGAGGGAGGTTTATACAGTACAACATATTCGGGAACATCTTTGAGGTCACTGCTAAGTACAAGCCGCCCATCATGCCCATCGGCAAGGGGGCTTATGGAATCGTCTGGTATTGACTCTTCATCTCTTTGTATCTATAGCTCTGAATAATTTTAGGATTGAAGTTAGGTTTCGTCGTAGGATGTTTCTGTATTACGTCTGTACGATTTTAGACTGTCTCTTCTTCTTTTCCGAGTAATTTTGTTTTGTTTCGACAATTCTCTAGTGTGTCTGTGGTTGGATTTAGTATTTTAGGAGGATACACTCATTGCTTGATCATAATGTATGTGGTATATGTGTATTCAGAGCTATCCTGATGCAGCTTGTTTGTGAAAAAAATTGTTTTGATTGCTTTCTGGCATGGGGAATATAATTTTTTTTTTAAAGAAATGGAGCTCAGTGGGAAGTCTTAATCGATTGCTGTATTGTTATCATTCTTTGTCTATACATACCCCAATAAGGTTCTCGGGAAGCATTTATATTGGACATCTTCTTATTATACATTTTGATTATTGTTCTTCTTCTTTTGTGGATATTTGTTAGCTCGGCTTTGAACTCTGAAACAAATGAGAATGTGGCAATAAAGAAGATAGCCAATGCATTCGATAACAAGATTGACGCGAAGAGGACACTTCGTGAGATCAAGCTCCTTCGGCATATGGATCATGAAAACGTCAGTGAGTGATACCTACTACTTGGGTTAAATTTTCCATTTTAATAATTAATCAATAATCAATGTGGAATATGTTCAATAAACTCCTCCATTCATGTGATAAGTACCAAGAACAGGTTGTTCTTACAGATTTGTCTTTCCTTCAAATGGTAAAAATCAACTGAGACAAAAATGCTAATACAAATTTGGTTATTTTTGAGGTGGCAGATAACATTATGCAACTTAACTGCTCATATAGTTATATTTGGGGGTGGCACTATTACACGAGTTTCTCTTCTGGTTACGTATCTAAAAATTGTATTGGATCCTTGCACCTTTAAGCAAAAAGGGTGAAAGAATGACTAGAATACCATCTGTACTTCCTTAACAGAATAACTGAAATACCAAGAAATGGGGTTTCCTTGCTTCCCAAATAGCTGTTTAGATGAAAAGTGTGTTTGTGTTTGCATCAACCTTTATTCACTTTCTCATTCTTTGCTTCTGGTGTGAAAATGAGAATGGACTCCATTTTCCTACTTAAGTCATAGTCAAAATTTTGATCTTGTAATCAGCAAAAAAGGGGGGACACATCCTCATTTTGACTTGCATTTTGCTACTTAATTGGGAATGTTAATATTTCATCGGTTATAACGATTGTATATGCTGTCGTCTACCAACTCTAAGCTACAAGATGAAACATGTGATTTTTTCATTTTAAGAAAATTCCATCCAAATTCTTTTCCTCATGTTACGATTCTAAATTTGTTTGTCCTCAATTGGCTTAAACAAGGTGATATGGAAAAAGCACATTTCAGAAGATTTTTATGGGAACAATTTCAAATCTTGATGCTGATGGATTCTTTTT